CAGACAACCTCTCGTCAATATGCGTTTTTCGCATTGCATTGCTGCAAAAAACGCATAAAAAGTAACAGACAAATTTGCTTGTTTACAATCAGGTAAAAATTTAAAAGCTGTTCTAAACACAAGTATCATAAAAGACCGAAATCACCGTTTTCCGCTTTTAAAAAGGAAAAAAAAACGTAAAATTTAATGACTTTTTTCAAACTGAACTATTCAGGCAACAGTCTGAAAAAAATACCTGCTCATTTCAACGGGGTCTACTATGCCAGATGATTTCCTTTCAATCAATTCCTTTACTAGCAGCTGATAGAAATCATTATCATCGAATATCTCAGCGTCATAAGTGCTCTAGAAAGCGCAAATGAAAAATTGGAAAGAAAATTTAAAAAAATAAAATTTTCAACAAAAAATGAAGTAAGCTCAAGATTTTAGCCTAACAACCACCAAAGGCAGCAAAAGTTCCCAATTTCTTGCATTTTTACTCTCCTTGGATTTTATTCCCCTGCTGAATCTTTTCTAATGTCCAGATATACTTCTTTGAAGCAAAACATTTGGAAGGGTACCTTCTGCTCGCCCTACTAGTCTAATTTAGATAATCCGTTTTTCCGTTAGGATATCCTTTTCCTTCCCCCTCCCCTTCCCACTCCACACACAGACAGACAGGCAAGCAGTGCACAAAATAATTAGACTAACATCTTCTGTGGCTCCCATTCGATCAACATCGCAACGTTTCATCTGAGTTCGCCGCAACAAACGGTGTTTATCACTCATTATCTGAAAAACTCCAAATGCTGCGAACTGCATGATGAAAAAAGGACAAAAAAGAAAATTAAGATTGTAACGGAAAACTTTCAAAATATGAATTGTAGCGGAAAACTCGCGAAAAGTCGGCAACTGCCGACAGAGTGTGCCTGCACAAATCAACGGCCAGGCAGTATGCGTGGCAGTGCTGTACAAGCAGCGGTAAAAGGGCCGGTGGCGTAGTGGTCTAGCATGTTGCGTCCGAATGTGAAGAAGAGTGGCTCGATTCACACCCAGTCCAAAGATATTTTTGAAAAGCGAGTTCGTTCGTGGCATGATCAGACCGGGAGATCTGCTTTACGGCAAAATACATGGCGCCAATAATCTGCTCCCTGGCTCTACTACATACAGAAAAAAACAAATACCGATACATACATACATGCACTAGCTGCATATGAGCTCACCTGTTCAATTTGTTTCAGAACAACAGATTCAAATCCACTAAAATCATTTTTCTTATTTTTGACGGCATTAACGCCAATAAGCGTTGTTCGTTCATCCCATTTCGATAGTGTTGACAATCTGAAACTGTCAAGAAATAAGTAAAAATTTTCAAAAATACGAGTGTCAGAAGAAAGCAAAAACTACATCGATGCTTCAAATTTCTTCACCTAAACGATGAAAATTGTTCGTGGCGTTTGGCAAAAACTTTAGCTGCCCAATGCGCTGGCATCTTCCTCTTTCTTTTGTTAAGATTCTGCTTTCGGCTGACGACTTCGCTTTTTTCAGCAGTGCTGCAATAAAAAAAATTACTACGATTCTTTCAAAAAGAAAAAAATAGATTCTATAAAAATAAAATTTTTTGAGGTCAAAAAATCAAACTGCTCTCAGGGCTAGGATTTGTCTGCACGTCAAGTACGAATACGCTAGATACTCATTTTTTATGCGTTTTTTGCAGCAATGCAATGCGAAAAACGAATATTGACGAGAGTTTGTCTGTGTGTGTGTATGTGTTTGTGTGTGCGCC